TTAGCTCTGTGATTCTACCCATATTCTGCGCTAATTTGTTTCTTTTGTTGATCTTCAGAAATGTCTTCTGCAGCCCCCTCCTTCATAGTGGCTGCCATTTTGGGAGTAGGCTCTCATTTTGTAGTTAGGCTGATCTCGAAATCATGGCAATCCTCATGCTTCGGCCTCCCAAGTGCTGAGCCTACAAGTGTGTGCTGCCGTGCCTGGCTTTTAATTTTCTTTTCCTTTTTTTTTTTTTGTTTTACATAATGCTTTCTCATGGTGGTAGAATTCTGAAAAGAAGTAAATGTTCTACAAAAATTTGTTTTATAGAGTATTTTTTGGAAGGTAATTTGATTTTAAAAAGATGGCATGCTTTATTTTTATTTTTTTCCATAATTTTATTGAGAAACAAATAGCAATGAGACAGTTTCAAATCAAATTGCTAGGACAGTTTCAATAATTAATATAATTAACACATTCCATACTCTTTTCCTAGTGGTCATTTGCTGTACAAGATGCAGACATGATATCCTATTTACAAACACTATTAGAACAAATCCCTCTACACAAGAGAATGTAGCTATATATCTATCCTAACCATTTTGAATACACAGATACAAAATGGACATTCATCTGTATGCCCTTTTTTGTTTAGTTCTATCATTTGAATATTATAGGTGTGTTAACTCAGCAAAATATTCCAAAAGAGTCCAGTAGTCCATAAGAGTATTGGGTCTGCCGCTTGACTGGCAGTGTCAGAAATTGTTGACCTGAGTCCCCTACAGCTCAACATAACAGCATGGCTTTACCTCTTATACTTCATTTTTATACTTTTCTCCTGGATGGTTAAGACCAAGATAAAACAAGATCTATGCAACAAGAGTTGTAGCTTTTGGATCTGATAAAGTAAGTCAAATCTCCTCAGGATTTATCCTGAGATCCTGTACCCCAGATTGTAGAACCTTTGTCTGTGTCAGCCCTGTGGATGAGTTACGGCCATTGCTTGGCCAATGTGCTCTCTGTGAAAGCCTGAGAGAATGTTTTCTCTCCATGTGACTCTCCTTAGGCACACTCTACATCATCGA